GATTGGCTTTGAGCTCACCGACTTCGTCTTCATCCTCAACGACGCATCCGCCGTCCGTACATTTGCGCAGGCCGGCTCGCTGACATTGGGCGGCAATGTCTCCATCGCGGCGGGGCCCGTCGGTCGCAATGCCGAGGCTGCCGGCGCGGCGAGTCTGAAGGGCGTGGCTGGTATTTTCAGCTACAGCAAGACAAAGGGACTGTTCGCTGGTGTCAGCCTGGAGGGAAGCGGCATCATCGAGCGGAGAGATGCCAACGAGAAGCTGTACGGCCGCCGATGGACTGCCCGCGAGATCCTCAGCGGACAGGTTCCCCCACCACCAGCCGCCGCACCACTCCTGCAAGTGCTCAACTCGAGAGTCTTTGCCGGCGTAGGAGGCGCGCAGAACGTTACCAACGACGCCATGTACAACGACATTCCCGTCTACGACAACTCACGCGACAACGTGGTCTGGCAGGGCCGCGAGGGCTCGGCCATGGGCGAAGGCGTGCGCCGTGACCGCACCGGCTCCATGGGCCAGGCACCCAATGACTACGAGTACAGAGACCGACCGCAGCACTCATCTACGTGGGCGGACGACGTATACGACCGACAGCCATCCTCGGCACCCGGCGGCCTCAACCGCTCCTTCTCCACGCGTGCGAACCCCACCGAGACCTTCGACCGTATGGACAACCGAAGCCGCTCCTCCACGTTCGGTGACGACTATTCGTACAGCGATCGCAAGCCCGGCCGACCAACGGCGCCAAAACCAGTATTCGGACAGACAACCGGGCAGAAAAAGGCAGGACTGCAATCCGACCAGGCAATTGCCAAGTTCACCTTTGACGCAGATCAGCCGGGCGATCTCGGCTTTAAGAAGGGCGAGATCATCACAATCCTGAAGAGGACGGACAACGAGACAGACTGGTGGACAGGCAGAGTCGGAAGCCGAGAGGGCATCTTCCCAAGGTAAGTCGCACAGGCCATGCCGTCATCAACACTTCGCTGACTGCCACAGCAACTACGTCGAGACCGTATAAAGTCGTTCCTGAGATACCACAACCCCGACCACGTAGACTGTCACACCTCGTTTCATTTCTAGTCTAGCGACATTCTTCAACTCCTTTTCGAGCGGTCGGCATTTAGCACCTTGCTTGCTCTCGCATGGCCTGGCGTTTCTTCTTTGAGTTCGTTAACTGTTCTCCTTGTTGCCTTTATCCCAGATACCTACGTAGCGAAACAAGTCGTTGAATCACGAGATACAGTAAGGTTCATTGCCATGAGTGGAGTATGGACGAGAACTATTTGGAGTTACCCCGAATGCCGAGGTGGAGCTGGTCGGCTGAACATCGTATCTATGACCCAGCGATCGCTCCAACCCCCGCCTCAGCCTGCCCCTCATGTTCACCCTCCGCGGTATGCGCATCGGCAGGACAATACTGATACCCTGCATTAACCCACAGACATGTCATGATATGTGAAGCTACGCTAATGTGGAAGGTGCTTAGAACAAATGCTCGATAGCTACCCCACTTGGTCGTTGTGTAGCTTCGAAGCTATCAACGGCGTCGACCCTCAACGTCATTCCCGCAGCTGCATATCTTAACTCCGGAACCGCTCTCGTGCCCAACTTGCTGCGACTCTCCCCTCAAACACCAAATACTTACGGGTAACTGCCTTTATCTCCTCTGCAATCAGCTCAAACCAACATCATGACGACATCATCGTGGGAAGAGACTGCTAGTAAGAAGCGCGAAGGTATCTTGGCTGCTATACCCTCGGAATGGCGACTAGAGAAGTTGCCATCGGTGGAAGAACAAATCGATGTCACAGACTACGTGAAGCAGTACTTCAGCAAGAAAGAGCTGGACATCACTGAAAGCAGTGCCGATGTGATCGCGAAGACCGTGGCTGAGGGGAAGTGGACTGCTGAAGAGGTCACGAGGGCATTCTGCCACCGGGCTGCAATTGCGCATCAACTGGTACGTCGCACATCTGATACCTGCAATGAATGTTGCTGAATATATAGTTATCGTGTCTTCACGAGATCTTCTTCGATGCCGCCATCCGTGATGCAAAAGAGCTCGACGCGTACTACGCAAAACACAAAAAGACCATCGGTCCCCTCCATGGCGTACCCATCTCACTCAAAGACCAATTCCATGTCAAGGATGTCGAGACCAGCATGGGCTACGTCGGCTGGATTGGCACTTTCGAAGGCAAAAAGGGTACTGGCAAAGAGAAGGTCTTCGAGAGTGAGATGGTCAAGATGCTGCGCAAGGCGGGAGCTGTGTTGTACTGCAAGACCAGTGTGCCGCATACGCTGATGAGCGGGGAGACGATTAACAACATCGTTGGATTTACCCTGAATCCGAAGAACAGGAATCTCACGGCTGGTGGTAGCTCCGGTGGCGAGGGCGCGTTGATCGGTATGAGAGGATGTAAGTGGACTTCCGTCTGAGATACGACAATCGTCATGAGCGTTCGCGTTCCAAGACGAAGAGGCCGTGGGCCGCTAACATCGCACAGCGCCATTAGGATTCGGCACTGACATCGGCGGCTCCATCCGCATCCCCGCCGCCTTCAACGGCCTCTACGGCATCCGGCCCTCCACAGGCCGCCTCCCCTACGAAGGCATGGCAAACTCCATGGACGGCCAAAACACCGTCCTCTCCGTCGTCGGCCCCCTCGCCACAAACGCAGCCTCCCTGCGCCTCGTCTGTCAAGCCCTGCTCGAACAAAACCCCTGGCTCCACGACCCCCTCGTCCACGAAATCCCATGGCGCCCGGGCCAAGAAGCCGAGGTGAAGTCCGCAAAGAAACTCTCCTTTGGTTTGTTGATGACAGATGGTGTTGTTAATCCCACGCCCCCCGTCCGTCGCGCTATTGATACTGTTGTTGGGGCGCTGCGTTCTGCTGGCCATGAAGTCATAGACTGGCAACCCCCCTCCCACCGCACCATCAACGACGTCGGCTTCCGCCCCTGGATCTACGACGCGGGTAAAGACGTTAAATCCGCGTTTGCGCTCTCAGGCGAACCCATGGCTCCGCAAGTCACGTTTTACCAAGGCGTCGACAAGGAATTCACTGCCACAGATATCGCGGCCACGAATGTGGAGTTGAGGGCGCTGAGGAAGGAGTATATGGAGTACTGGAACAGGTAAGTCTCGACTGTACGAAGTGCAAGTGAGACATATACTGACTTCGTACTTCTACGTCTGCAGCACTGTCGACAAGACTAGTACGGGTAGGCCGGTTGATGCGGTGATTTGTCCGCTTGCGCCGTTTCCGGCGAGTAGGAGGGAGAGGTTCAGGTATTATGGGTATTCGACTTGGGTTAATGCGCTGGATTATACGAGTGTTGTTGTGCCGGTTATGCAGGTGGATAAGAAGGTTGATGTGAAGGCGGAGGGGTATCAGAAGCTTGATGAAATGGATGGGGGTATCCAGGACGACTACGACCCTGAGATCTATGACGGCGCGCATGTTAGTGTGCAGCTTGTTGGACGGAGGTTGCAAGAGGAGAAGATGATTGCTGTTGCCGAACTTGTAGGTGGTATTATCGGAAAGTAGAGAAGGTATACGAGACTATTTCAGCAGAGCCTTCCGATTCTTCATTGGCGGGAGGCGTATCGCAGGCGCACTGAGAAGCATGTCAAAAGGAGGATTGTCCAGCACGATGAAACGTTCCGCGACGCCCTCGACACAGTTCGGCAGAGGAAAGGACAATTCTACAAATTCACCGGTCGAGGTATAACGCTTCGAATCCCAGATTAATGAGCTTACTGTTGCGATATCCAGACGCGCTGCGAAACCGAGACGATCGATGACATCGCGAGAGACGAAGTTGTTCCGCAAGTTTGAAGGGAACATCACGCAGATCTTATCTGGCCGCCCACTCCAGTTAGAGACGATGGGAATGTCTCGCTTTGCTTTCAGTAATGACGATATTTCCGATTTTGTAACCTTACGCACAGTCAGTGCCAGCACGCATGATACATGTTCGTCAACTCACGACATCGAAAGGAGTGGGTCGTCTCGCTGGTACTGGAAAACGAGGCTGGATCGGCGCTGAAGTAAGTATAGGATAAGCTGGCCCGATGTTCGCCAGAGATTTCGCAATGTCGCAGTTGCACGAGACCACACTGTCCTGGAGTCAAAGCGCTTCTTCAACGTCGCACAGGAGATACTGACATGTTATAGCTGTTGACATTATCCCAGATGTTGCCGTTGATTTGGAGAGTACTGTCGTACGCTCTGTTCCCGGTAACGGCTGAGAAATGCGTCGCTTGTTTTGCTTTCGTGGGACGTCCGACCGCGGAGGTCTCTGATTTACTCATAAATTTGGAGGCGCGAGAAGACTGGCTGACATCGCTTCTGTAGAAGCTACTCATGATTCAAAGCGAGCGTTTCCAGAGTGAGTGAGTTCAGAGTGAGTGAGCGAGCTCAGCGCGATAAGGATGTGAAGACAAAACGAAGGATGCCAGCAGACTTCAGATGGGGACGGCGCTGCCTGTAAGTCTTGCCCGCAAAGTCGGCTCATGTCCGGATCGAACGCGGGATGTGTGGATTCGAGACATCCTACAGGTTGCCCCAACACGTATGCGCGTAATCGCGGGGATACGCTGTCACGTGTGGGTGGTCTCGCCGTCCCCATGATTTGCCGCGTCGCTACCGGTCAATTGAGATGGGGATAGCGTCTCAAAGGCGTGCAGGAACGAGCGACATCCCTGCCAGTTCCGGTCGCCCTGATGATGCGCGAGCTGGAGATCTGCCCCACTTGATCTCTCCAACGTGCAGCCGCGCCCATGCGAACAGATAAACGCACAACTCACATCACCAGTTACACGGACACCCACCTACACTACACAATCAGCGTCGCCAGCTCTTCGCGCATCATGGCTTCGAAGTAGAGCGTCGCATTGGGTAGGAGCCTGCCCCAGCGCTCTCCGGCGCATTCAAAGTTGCGCGCGCGCGTACAAGGCTGGCCACGACGAGAACACTTCACTTTGCGCGCGATGGGCGATCGCTTGACCTTAGCGCAACGTCTTCTCAGGGACCATCCTGCTAAGGCAGTCGAGCTTCTGATGGACTACTTGAAAGATGGAAAAATTAAGGCAGAGACCGAGCAGTATATCGGACAGAACCCAGCTCAGCCAATTCTCGAGACGGAACTTAATCAGCATCGCGGATCGTTGCCGCCGCCTGCTCATCATCGCCACCCTTCTCTACAAGGATCGATACGGCCGAACATACAGAATGTCCGGCATAGTATTCAAACTCCCCCCACTAGCGCAGGCTCGGTCAAGTCGCATACTTCGGGTCTTGCGGCCGCGGGTATGGAAAAGATTTCCTTCCTCTCGTGTGACGGCGACAGCGCAGACCAGGCGGTGATAGCAAAGCGTGCGCCAGGCAAACACAATCTGATTAGCGAGGCGGTGGCGTATGGCCGTGGTCTTAGCGAAGGCCAGTTCGAGGTAGGCGAGTCGATACCAGTGCATACATCTGCCGGAGGGCCGAGGTGGATTAATGTCAAGCACGCTGTGAACCTGACGTGGCGTCGGCCCAGCGAGTACAAGACGAACATGGATACATTCCATATTGTATCAGCAAGATACCTCGATTGCGATGTGGTTCTAGGATTGGACGAGTCCATGGAGCGCCAATTCCCATCAGGTCAGTCCCACTCGTTCCGATCAGTGTCCGCACAACCAGGCTGATCTCTCTGTCGCGACAACAGAGGTTCAAGAAGCGCATTCCCCGCAAGATCGCTACCGACCAGGCTTCGTCCACGAATTTGATCAAGCAGTGCCGCCACCAGCGCCGACTGCGCCGATGCATCCATACCAACCCCCATATCAGGCACCGTCTCCCGACATTCAGCGGGCATTCGGGCGCGTCGGTGCAATGCACGACCTACAACGCATGCGAGGGTCCGAGCCACCCGCCCAAGCTGCACCATCAGCGCCCGTGGAACCCGGTCAGCAGAGTAATGCACCCATACCTATTGCGAGTCAAGACGATCCGAGCGACGAGCTCGAAATTGAAGGTTACTGGGGCAGAATGCCGATCAGCATGTCAGTCGATATCAGCGGTTCGGGAGAGCAGTTCTTCCAAGCCTTTCAATGTATGGCCATAGACCGGAAGCGCGGTGACAACTTGGACAGAGACAGGCAGAGACTAGCAATGCTATTGAGAGCGGACGAGGATAGTCCCGAGGAAGAAGCCTACCGCGTTAGTCTTGATCAAGGTGCACTGGAGAAGCGCTGGAAGATGATCGTGAGATGGATTCGAAAGAACAAGAACTCGGAAGAACCGCATCTGTATGCGACGGTCGAGATCGCGGACGGGTAATAAACTTAATGTCGCACAATTCTGCTAGACATCGTCGGGCCACTAGATCTATAGACACAGGATAATACTGCACGAGACAAAGTATAATAACGCGCAAGTTAGCGCTATTGCGCGCAATAAGCTAAGCGTACAACGTTTAGGCTATCGCGCGCAAGGCAACTAATCTTAAGAAGCGTATTGCTACTAGAATAAAGACCTCTTTAGAGTCTTGCTCTATATACTATACTTATACTATATTACGCACTAGTGTATAGAGAGTTAGAAAGAAGAGCACAAAAGTAAGATAAGTAAAGAAGAGACGCGTAGAAGTACTGCGCAGAAAGAAGGTATAAGAGAGAAGATATAAAAAGAAAGAGATAAGATAAAAATATAAGAAGAAAATATAAGAGAAAGATATAGTAAGTATAAGATAGACTTTATATATAGAGAAGTAGACTAATAATAAGATTACTTATTACTTTACTTATAGAGCTATATATACTTAACTTATACTAGATAAAAGTATAGCTACTAATTAGTAGACTAGAAGTAATTATCTAATTAGCTATAAAATATAATTATAGTAAGTATTACTATAAGCTAACTATATTAGAATATATAATATCTAGTAGAAACTAAGCGTAGAATAGTCTATATATAATAAATTTAGTTTAGAAACTAAGTATAGTAATCTAAGAACTAAGTATACTAGTTTAAGAACTAAGTATACTAGTTTAAGAACTAAGTATACTAGTTTAAGAACTAAGTATACTAGTTTAAAAACTAAGTATACTAGCTTAAAAACTAAGTATACTAGCTTAAGAACTAAGTATACTAGTTTAAGAACTAAAGATAAGAGTTTAAGAACTAAGTATACTAGTTTAAGAACTAAAGATAAGAGTATAAAAATATAAGAAACTAAGAATCTATTTAAAGCTTAAGAACTAAGTAAAGCTATTTAAAAACTATACTAATCTTAGTACTTAATTTTAGATAAAATAGTCTTTACGTAAATAGATAGTAAGTATACTACTAAATAGTAACTATTACTTTTACTTAATTTTTCTTTTTTTTTTAGTACTACTATATTTTATATATTACTTTTTTTACTAATACTACTCTTTTATTTTCTTTTATATATTTAGTTCTTTACTTTTTTATTTTTTACTTTAACCTTTTTCTAAGTTACTAACTTTAGTAACTATATCTTTTATCTAGCTATTAGAAAAGTATAGAATACTATATATTATAAATATATACTTATTTTATTAAAAGCGCTAATAGCTTTATTATTAAGTCTATTTTATTTAACTACTTTAGAAGTCTAAAGTTATCTAGTAAAGGCTTTTTTTATATATAGATAAGTAGTAATAGCTCTATCTAGAGTACTATTATCTAAGTATTCTTATTATATATAGTAACTATTTCTATTTATTATTATATATAAGTTTATATTAATTTCTTCTTAATAAAAATATCTAGATTATTAGAATTTAGTAGTAGGCTAAATATCTCTAGACTTTTTATTCTTATTTTTATTATATTTTACTTTTACTTATAATTTAGTCTTTCTCTAAACTTTTTCTAGAGTACTAGGTCTAACTTCTTTATTAGCTCTTTACTAAGTTTCTTTAACTATATACTTATAAAAAGTACTTTTTTAGTAAGTAAGTTATACTAAACTCTATACTATTCTATACTATATTTTTATAATCTAAGTTTTATATCTAAATACTTAAATCTTTTATAGAAGAAGTCTAACTTATACTATTTTCTTATTTAATTAGCTAGAGTATTAACTTCTATTTTATTAAGCTTAAAGTACTTATTCTAGAATCTAGCTACTTTATTATTCTCTAATCTAGTAGCTACGCTAACTATATTAGAATTCTAACTTTTATATCTAAAGGCTATAAAAACTAGTTAAAGTATTTATTTTATACTAGATCTAAAATAGTATAGCGTATAGTAAAAAACTCTACTCTACTAGTAAAAAGCTTCTAAATTATAGTATTAGACTATATAATAATATTATAATAAGCTACTAAAAGACTTTAAATATATACTATATAGTATAAAGCTCTAGTAAAAGGCTTCTATATTCTAGTAAAAGATAGATAGAATATACTAAAAGGCTATACTAAAAGGCTATATTAAAAAACTATATTAGAAAGCTACTATATCTAAGTAAAAGGTATCTAAGATATAGCTATAATACGTAATAAAAAATATAATAGTAACTAACTATCTAATAGTCTACTTAAAAAAGTACTAGTAAAAGACTTATTATATATAAGTTTCTTTCTATATAGTATAGTAAATTTCTTTTCTATCTAAGAAGCTAGGTATATAATATTATATATAGTATATTTTATTCTAAAGATATATAAAGTAGCTTTCTTCTATCTATTATCTTTTATCTTAGATAACTCTAGACTTAGATAGTCTAATCTATCTACTTAAATAAAAGCTTAAAGTCTAAGTTAGATTTATTCTACTTTTATAGTTCTATATACTATAATATATTATTACTAGTAATATCTAACTTATTAGTATTATCTACTTATATTCTTTAGCTTATAATCTCTATAGTCTATTTTATAGCACTAGCTTATATAGCGCTTTATTAACTATACTATACTAGTTTTAATAATAGTATTTATATTATAGTTTATTACTTTTTATTCTTTTTATATTTTATATTTTTAAGTCTATTTTATATAGTATATATTGTATATAATATTATATTATAGAGTACTTTTAATTATATAGTTATCTTTTTTAGTTTCTATCTATACTCTACTCTTTACTTTTATTACTATTACTAGCTATATCTATACTTCTATAATTATCTAAATTATATACCTTTACTATTTAAAAAGACTATAACCTATTCTCTACTAGCTTTATTAGTAACTTTACTAAATAGTTTTCTAGATTACTTTTATAAATTACTTTAAGAAATAGCTATTTAGAAAAGAGTTTCTTCTATATATAGCTTATAAGTAATAGTTCTACTACTTTATAAAAACTACTAATATTATTATTATATTAGATAACTATCTCTATCTAGTTTTCTAGTTTTAGAATTAGCTTTTACTTTATAAATAAATTTAGAATAAATACTTTTAGTAGTAGTATAAAGATACTAGAACTAAACTTTTACTTTAGTAACTACTAATACTTTTTATATTCTAAGTACTAGTTCTAGTTATAATACTTAGCTATATACTTAATCTATATTAACTTTTTATTTATATTACTACTAATTTTATAGAAGAGTTATTTTCTAGTAACTATTACTATACTTTACTTTCTTATATTTATAAGCTTCTTTTATCTTTTTAGAATATTCTCTAGCTATTTATATTTTAAGTAAAGAGTAGATATTACTTATTAATACTATATATTACTTATAATTTCTATAGTTTTACTATAATATATAGTTACTAGTAGCGTATAAAAACTCTATATCTTACTAGTAGATAGTACTCTTTTAGAATACTTACTCTCTTACTATAAAAGAATAAGCTTACTAGCTTATAAATTAGAAATAATATCTATTCTCTATATTATTTATAGCTCTACTTTATATACTAGAGCTAGTACTATAGTATTTATAGTTGTAAATAGTTATCTTCTACTTCTAGCTACCTCTTTTTATATTTCTAATACTACTTTCTATTCTCTTAAACTTTCTACTATTATAACTACCTTTACGTAGTTTATTATTTTAGCTACCTTACTTACGCTAATCTTCTCTAACTATCTTATAAAGTTATAGTACTTAATCTTATAGTCTAAATATATAATTTTATTCTATTATACTACTACTAAGTCTTGCGTACTAGTAATAGTTTCTACTAGCGCGTAGTCTAACTATTTCTTTAATTATTAATTAACCTACTTTATTATTATTTTCTTTCTTATTTACTTTAATAGCTAATCTAACTCTTTCTTATTAGATAAGGTATTTCTATTTAACTATAAGTTATTATAGATATAGTTAATAAACTATACTAAGCGCTTTTTTACAACGCGCTAATAGAGCTACTATATAGTATTTTCTAGCGTATGTATAATAAATAACTATACACTCTCTACTATATCTAGAAGAATATAATAGACTATATTATTTAGTTCTATGTATTAGTAGGTCTCTTACACTACCTTACTTATATCTTTATCTTTCTAGAGCGCGTTAGGTATAATTTCTAGTTCTTTAGTTACTATTACGTAGTTTTTACTATTCTTACTTTAAACTCTAGAAGCTTTAGATAAAGATAGAGATATAGGCTGTTTAGGGTTAGGGTTAGGGTTAGGGTTAGGGTTAGGGTTAGGGTTAGGGTTAGGGTTAGGGTTAGGGTTAGGG